CTCATATTCAAATAAATACTTCAACATGAGTACAAGAAAACTCAATAATTGTTAATTTGATGAACGAAACCTAACAATCATTTGATCATCACTACTCCTAATATTAAAACAATTTAATATGAATTCATCACTATGAGTTAAACTGAGTAGAGGATTCAAAACATACAAATAACTTAACCAAGCTAATTGATGCTCCTGATTTGTTGCACATGAATTCTCATCTTCACCACCAAAGCTAATTGGCGAAAAATACTCCTTGATACTTCTTCTTCTTGTGATCCCTACTTGTAATGCTCTTGTTGACATCTAATCTTGCTGCTCCCTTAATATTAGAGCTTGATCTTATAATTTTTACCTTTATTTATATAATAGACCTTTATTTATATAACAGACTTTTATGTTATTGTTTAACATTTTAAGAGACATCAAATACTATTAAAGGTTGGAAATTTCAAAAGTTACAAAAGTTTTGCATTAAACATAAAAATAATAAACTTTTAAAGAAATTTTAGGTTAAAAATTCCAAGAGGTTATACATGTTTTGTAGTCCACTTTTAGTGACATTTTTTTAGGTTGAAAATCTCAAAGGTTGTTAACCATTAAAAAAATGAAATGAAATTCAAGTAATTAATGTCCACTAATACTTTTTAATAAAATTGGATTTAATTTAAAGTGAAAAAAAAGAGTTAAGAAATACTTGGTTGAAGATTTCAAGTATCAAAATAAAAATAATACAATTTTAATAAAATATAAGGTTGAAAATTCCAAGGGTACCATTTCACTTTTAATCGATTTAAAAACATGTTCTTTTGGTTGTCCTCAACTTTTTTCATAAAATATTTGGTCGTATATAATGTATACATTTATAAGCTATACTATTAATGAATGAGGCATGATTCATTATGCTTTAATGTACTTATTTTGTTTTAACCTTTCTGGAGGCATTATAAACCATTATATATAGTTGATATATACGTTAATAAAATTTCTAAATTTAAAATAAGAAAAAATATTTGGAAATAGAGAAAATGTCTGAAGTTAGGTGGATATATGTTTTAAAAATAAAAAATGGTACATTTTTTCATTTCCCTTTTACGTTTTCTTTTTCCGTTTGTTGTGCATTTTTTTTTTTAAACAAAGTTGGTATTATTTTTTTTTTTCCTTTTGGAATAATGTGAATTAGGCTCTAGAATTTTTTGGGAGGAAATTTTTGGGAAGGAACACGTTTGCTTTTAAATAGTGGGAATATTATATATATTTTTCCTTTTTTTATAAAAAGTACAATTAATTTGATTTAAAAATACTTTTAATATCCTTTTAATATAAAAATTATGGTTTAAATAAATACATATATAAAAGAGTTGAAGAATCTGAACAATCAAATAGTATAATTAATCGGATTAAAAACCTTCCTCAACTTTTTTCAGAAAATATTAGGTCATATATAATATGTACATTTATAATTTATACTAAGGCATGAATTATTATGCTTTAATAAACTTTTTATGTGACCAAAAAAAAAATGTTAAATTCTCTACACTTTTAAAAGGATACCTAAAAACTTATATACTATCATTTGTAATTATTATTGGATTTCTTCATGAGTTTACACATCATAAATCAAATGTCAAATTTAGGTCAGTAGTCTATAATTTTTAAATCTTTTACTAAAATTCTAGATATGAAATGACCTTATTTAAGATTTTAAATCTTTCAAGTTGAGGAGGACCATCTTAATCCCATGGATGTCAACACCAATTTCATAATCCTTCTATCAACAGGTTCCATGGCTTTCACGCAATCCTTAATTCCTGCAAAACCATAAAAAGGGACTAAAAAATAAATAAATAAATAAATAGTCAAGTGCAAACAAGAGATTAGCAAAAGATTTACATGGAAAAAAGCTTAAAATGCTAATATCTGATTATAAATTTGTCATGATTAAAAAGCATGTACTAACCGTTAATGCTCATTATCCACTTTCCCTCCAAAATTCCAATCAAAACCTTGAGGGTTGGTCAACAAGGTCCATTTTTATTTGTTGAAGCAATGTCTCCTAAAAGTTCAAGGCAGAAATGTTAGAATATATTGTTACCATGTATGGGAAATAATATGGAAGTCTCACAACAATAAAGAATTGGTAATGAACAATTGGATAAAAACATCATAGCTATAAAATATTAAAGAGGGAAGCAGATAAAACATCAAAAAGAGAAGCTTTGCTTTCCTTTTCGGCCAATCACAAGATATAGATAATTTTCCATTATTGCAACTCCAGAGAACCTGTCAAATTCAGAAACAGTTTTGTGCAATTCAAGCTAGCAGGCTATTTACAACTTCTTTGGTTCAGTGTAGGAAATGAAGTCAGAAATGAAAATTGTATATTACCACTTTTCGGTTAAAACAGTGAAAAAAAATCTCAAAAGGCACAAGTGTTACATCATAATTAAAAGCAATTGAATTGCAATTATTATGATTAAAAACTATATTTAATCAAATAATAAATTGTATTAGAAAATATTTTGTACACTTTGAATCAAATCAAAAACCTTATTTTTATAATTTTAAAAAATATGAAAAAAGTTTAAAAATTCAAAAAATTCTTTACACTTTTAGAATAAAAAAAATATTATTTTAGGTATAGATACATAACCAAAAAGATACAACTAACAAAATTATTTTATTTAACAAACATGAAAAATGTTTTTCCAAAAATTCTTTGCATTTTTAGGAAAAAAATATATATTATTTTAGGTATATATATATGTAACAAAAAAAGAAAAAAAAAAAAGAAAAAGAAAAAGAGAGAGAAATTCTATGTGTATATATTAATATATAAAAGCAATAAATTAAAGTATATATATAATAATGGAGAGACAGGAGTTATGAATACGAATCATCAATTAATTATTATATGTGTATATATTAATATATGAAAGTAATAAATTAAAGTATATTTATCAAATTAAAAAATTTAAAATATTAAGAAATTCTTTACACTTTTATAAAAGCATAGATATAGATATATAAATATAGAGGGATGTCGATATATATATGAGCTCTAGAACCCCCTTCTTTTTTCTTTTTTCTTTTTTTTTTTTCCTGTAAATATAAGAGCTCTGGTCCCTTTTTTCTTTCACAATTAAGTATAATAATGGTTAAAATTAATCCATTTGTTCACCCTTTAAGCAAGCCTATCGTAATAATAATAAAAGTCATGCATGACTTTTGTAATTGCCTTCAAGAGAAATAAAAAAATCTCTACCAGTGTCAGATTTGTCCTTCCCAGTGTAATTGCTTAGAAACGACAAGTTGGTTGTTCAACCCAACTTTCTCGTAAAGGTGTTAACCAATTAATACCACCCAAAAAAATGAAAGGCAAGTTGCGATTTCAAAGATAATATCTTCCCACATACACATCAATATCCATAAGAAAGCAGACGTTTCTATACACGACAAGAACTTCTTTTAGCTAAGGCGGCCATGCCTTCAAATTTTTTTTTTTTTTATATACCCCGCTCGAATTAATAAATTTAAATTAAAGTAATAATTCCTTTGAATCCTTTCAAATTTATCTAATAAAATATATATTTTTCTATAAGCCCTTACTCCAAATTTTAGAGGAAAGCAAGTGGCAGAAGAGAGGATTTTTCTCCCATTCCTCTCATTTCTACCCAAAAAGGTCCAAGTAAAATAAGTTGTTTTGTTAATTTTACGGATCATTATACTCTAACCCGGTTTTCAAGTGAGCTTATGTAAGCCAAAGAGATTTTCGATGGAGTAGATAAGATCAACATTGAAACCATATAAAAATTCATTTGGCTACATTCTCAAATATAATAGAAATAGACCTCATAGCATCACTCTTGTTTGATTGAAGGCATTGTTAAACTCTTGGTTTGAAATTAATTTTAGTATGTCTCAAATTTTAGTCGAAAGGATGGAGTTCTAGAAGAGTCCGACTTGTCCAACTTGAGTTCAACCGATTGCATTTGTCAAATATTTGAAAATTAGATTTGGGAAGGAAGTTGGCTTGTTAAGCTGATATATTAGAGTTGGATATTGATTTGGCAACTCCTTTGTAGGCCAGGGGTGATACTAATTGGTCCAACAAAAGAATTGGATTTGGGTAGAGGGAGGGGAAATGTAAGGGGCTAAAAGGGTGAGTATTGTAAAGGGAGAGGAGAGCAATTCTTGGAGATGTAACGCGCCTAAGAAGAAGCGAGATTTTTAGTTTTCTTAGTGCATACAAGAGAAGATGAGTGAATGGACGGAAGAGTGAAAGAGTGTTTAGGTTTTGAAATTCGTAATTGTATAGTTTTTTTTTACTTGATACATAATAGAAAAATCTTTTTATATAGGTTGTTCTAAAATTGAGTGAATCATGTAAAATATTATGTTGTACTTAAATGTATATGATCGTAAATTTTAATAAATATATGGATAAACCTTAAACCTATTAAAATCTAACATGCCACTCCACAAATAAGTATATATATAGATGGTGGAAAATATGTATACGAGGATTTATTCTCAACAACAATTAGGGTGAATTGGAGAGACTACATATCCCTGACAACACCGGCCCCATGCCACTCAATAAAAATATAATAATAATAATAAATAAATAAAGTGAGTTGTTATTTTAATTTAATTGAATCATGAATTCCGCAAGACCAATAAACCTTGTTTGTGGTATGAATATTTAAGAAGAGATGAAACAAGGAATATACGTTTTAGCCTTAATTAGTACTTATTACCAGTGTTGTAGCACCCATAATCCATCCCATATATGGCCATATATAAAGACCAGTTTGTCCTTGCCTGTGGACTAATATCTCCAATGTTTGCAAGGAGAAACATGACTTAATTTCCAGAGGAATTACCGAGCTACATATAGGGAAATATATATATATATATATATATAGAAAGAGAGACGGTGAAAGAAATTAAAAGCTGGGTACGAGAGGTAGATGAACTAATAAAAGCGATGAATGTGGAGGGGTGTTTTAAGGAGGAAGGACGAAAAGGATTGGGACAAAACGTGATCGTCCGAGGGATCGTCAACGTGGTGGATGGAAGCCCCGTCACGAGCCTCTCGTCGGCCAATTAGCCACGACAGGGGATTTGCGCTGGGGTCAACGTGGCACTATCCACCACCGTGCACACTGGTACATCACCACACCTTTCTCTCTCTATAAATTACAAAAAATTTACCACTGCCAGTACAACACACACACCGCTATATGTACACACACTTCTCCTACCAACAAGTCAACTAGTTCACTAGACTCACTACCCACAAGCCTACAACTTTTCACTTTCACTTTCACTGATCATATATACGGAATATCTTTGGTGGTCTATATATATCTTGGAGTCTTGCATGTCCTCTTGCTGTGTTGTGTGTTGTATGGTGTTTCCAGGAAATGGGGAGAGCACCATGCTGTGAGAAAGTGGGGTTGAAAAGAGGGAGGTGGACAGCTGAAGAAGATGAGATCTTGACAAACTACATTCAAGCTAATGGGGAAGGCTCTTGGAGGTCATTACCCAAGAATGCAGGTAACATATGTACTACGTACTATAGCTATACCAAAAAACACACCTATAGGGTATATGTACATGCACCTGATGTGTGTGGATTAATTAATTAATTAATTTTTTTTAACTATATATTTGGGTTTATGCAATTAGGTGATCGATCGAATGCTTAATTGTACTGATATGTTAGCGTTATTGTTTGGATTTTTGAAGGGTTACTGAGGTGTGGGAAGAGTTGTAGGCTGAGATGGATCAACTACTTGAGATCTGATTTAAAGAGAGGCAACATAACAGCAGCGGAAGAAGATGTAATTATTAAGTTGCATGCTCAACTGGGGAATAGGTTAGTGGCACCATTCCTGTTACTCTATTAATTATATATAGGATAATGTTTAGCTACTCACTAGTGAATTGGGTGAAGCTACTCACCCCTGTGTGATTCAATAACAAAATAACACATCACTTTTAATAATAAAATAATTACACATTTTTTTTGTTTTTTCGAATCAAGCATTACATAAATCGCATATAGTGGTTTTAGGTATAAATTATTTTATTTTTAAATGTGATATGTTATTTTATTATTACATCATATAAGAGTGAATAGTTTCACTCCACTCACTAAATATTATTTATATATATATATATATACACACACCCCGGATCCGGTGCAGTATTGTTGCCGTACTGCACCAGATCCCAACACAATATATCCATATCAATCTCCATGATTTCTTCATCCAAGAAACACCAAGCAAAACCACTTCCTAGCTAGATCTTTGTCTCTCTCAAAATAAAAAAAGGTAATCGTGGCATCCTGTACATCATAGTATCATGCGTCTACTTTTCAACCTTTTTTTTAATTATTATTTGGATTCATTCAAAGATTTTTCCACTTATTTTCCAAAAACAGCTTTTTCTTCAATGTCTCTTTCTATATATATATATCATATGTTTATTCAACTCAAAAGTTAGTATCATTAATAATTTAGTTAGGAGTTGCTACACATTGCCTTAACTAGTGCACCTCAACTTCTTCCAAAATACGGAGTAATTAAATTTTGTCATTTTATGAGACCTATCTCATCATGATAGATGAAGCTAGAGGAAGAAGTTATTTGATTTATTTAGTAAGTAGGGGAAATTATTAATTTGTGGTAGACAAAATCAGACAGCTGAATAGAAACTTAGAATGGGAAAATAATTAATGCAATTCGTTGTAGAAATATCACCAATAATTCCAATTTCCATCCACTTGTCCCCAAACTAAATTAGGTGATAAATAAAATGGTGAATTAATTAAAAGAAAATTAATATGGTGTGGTAAATAAAATTAAGTATTGTTAAAGTGGATTGATTAATAATAATGTATGGTTTATAGGTGGTCGTTGATCGCTGGTCACTTAGCAGGAAGAACAGACAACGAGATAAAGAATTACTGGAACTCTCACTTGAGTAGAAAGATTCACAGCTTCCGGAGGCTTAGCAATGAAAACCTAGCAGTAGCAGTACCGGTGGTGATGGACTTAACCAAAGCAAGCATTGCAGCGAAGCGAAGAGGAGGCCGAACGAGTCGCTCCGCCATGAAGAAGAACAAAAGCTACGTTAATAATATTATACCTGCTCCCGAGTTATCAACGGAAAAGCCTTTTCCGAAGGATATTCAAAGTGGAGTTATGGAGGGAATGGTGCCAATAATGCCAACTACACCAACCTTAGAGAAAGAGGCCACTTCATGGAATACTAATGATATTGTTGTGGTGGATCCATGGGCAACAGAAGAAGAAGAGGGAAGGAACAATCTATCTGTGCTCAGTGATTCTCAAAGGGGAATGTCGGGTTCGAGTGATGATGATCAAGAGAGAGAGAATAATATTTTAATGTCGTGTCACAGTAGTGACCATAGGAATAGTGAGTTGGAATTGGTGGGAAGTTATGAAGGTCTAGATAGTCCCATGTTGTGTTTTAATGACATTATGGGGGATGATTTGCAGGAGCTGGGTCCTGATGGCTATTTAACAACAGGTAAGGAGGGAGAAACTATTAATAACGCGGTCGGTGGTGATGAGAGAGAAAATAGGGTCACGGATTCAAACACCATAAAGGAAGTGGATGTTGGTCAGAGAGGTAATCTGAGCTCAAAAGGAGATCATAGTAGCAGTAGCGATTGGTATTCTTGCACTACTTCAACAAATTCATGTATGGAAGATATTATAAGGGCTGATTGGGATTGGGATTTTAATAATGATTGGGATATGGGTACTGTTGTTCAAGGACATCATCTACCAAGGGATGTTGAGGAGGAAGAGAAGACGTCTTGGACTTCATTGTGGGAGAGTTATAATTTGGATAAAGATTCTAGTACTGCAGTTATGTTGGGAGAAGATGAGATTCACTGTGACAAGCACGAGGCTTTGGTTGCATGGCTTCTCTCTTAATTTTATTTTTCTTCGTAATTTTCTTGTATTTTTTTTTATTTCGGTTTTGTAAAGGGTGATGGTTGAGGTAGTGGTTAGAATTTCTTTTTCCACTTTGGGACTGACATATGATCGTTAGTTAGTAAAATCAAAGTCCCACTTAATTATTGCTGTCACGTTCTACTATTTTGTTGAATGAATATGATGTGAATGCATCTGTTTTCTTCTTGGTACTTTCGTGTCCCAGCTGCTTCCTTCCAGCTAATACGGGTCCTCATTGCCTTTTGGATAATACTGGTGAATAATTTCATCATATTCACTGTGTTTTAATAATAGAATATCACATTATTTTTAATAAAAAAATTATTTAATGGTTGATTCTAGAAAATACAGAAGAATGTGAGTTATTTGGTTATTAAAACTGATGTGGTATGTTGTTATTGGAACACATGAGAGGTGAGTAGGGTGAAACTACTTACCGGTGAGTAGCTAAGCATTATCCTTACCTTTTTGAGTTGTACGAGCAACTAGAAGATTCTTTTATTTCGATCCACGATAAAATAAAATAAAATACTACCTACACTTTTTCCTAAAGTAAATAACATTTATATAATACGAGTACCATTCTTCTACTTGACACTATCCTAACATTCATTTTGATGATTTGGGTGATAACACAAAAATGTCATATTATTAGCTTACCTTTTAACCAAGAAAAAATAAAAAAGTCATTAATCATTACCCAATAAGACGTAAATATGTCATTATTCATGACTTGAAATATAAGGAAACACCACAATATTGTGAAAAAAAAAAAAAAAAAAAAGGTCAAAGTCGACAAAAATAATGTACAAAAAACATGATCGGGTCTCACTATTAACCACGTCAATAGCCTTCTCGATCATGTCCAGCCCTTTGATTGGAATAAGACACATTAATTCTTTTAATACAGAAGTTATAGGCGTCGCACCTTTGGTGAGCATACCACACACAATTAATGAGCAAGAGCCGACAAAATGGATGACTAGTAGTGGGCAGAGTCACATACTTTTGTCCCATCAAGATAACCATACATACCGAGTGAAGTGACACAAATAAAGTAGCACTCAAGTCCCTATATGGCCCGATAATTCCCACCCCATCAACTCAGCTACAAACCAACCTAGAAGGTCACATCGTGTTAGTTCAAGAATGACGCTTCACGTGCAAATGTAGCCTTTATCATAGAACCATCTTGGTCGTCCATGTGGCGTACATCCAACCATGGTTTGCAATTGTGATAACGGTCTCGGTGTAATGGAGTCGGGCGAATATTACTGTAAATCGGTCGAACTGGACGATTCATGGAGGTGTATAACGGTATCGAATCCTTAAAAAAAGGTTACGAACCGGACGATACGTCTCGTATTGGCCGATACGGCAAACCATGGCACCAACACATACATATATCTTTTATGCATCTATCCGACCCTGTGCCATCTAAATTAATGTACTTAGGAAAAAATTCAGTAAGCTTAATAAGTCCGTTTTCGACAAAACATGAGGACCAGTTTGGTGGGAAAAAATGGAAGGAAATAAAAAGAAAGGAAATTGAGGGATTTGGAGTTTTGTGATTGGGATAAACTTTTGGAAGGAAAAGAGAGGAAATGGAAGAACTTAGAGGGATATGTTTAAAGCTTGAATAGTTATTTTGTTTTCCCTTAAAAAATGGAAGGAAATTGAGGGAAAATGTAGCATTTTTAATGAGATTTCTGTAATGCCAAATTTGTCCTTATTTTTATGAAAGACAAGAATCGTGGAAAATGTTATAGTGGTAAATTCATTAAAATAGTTTTTTTTTTTTTTCAAAACATAATTACCATCATTTCCTCTCTTTTTTCCTTCATTAGTCAACCAAACACGATAAGTAGCTCACACTATTATCTCATTTCCTTTATTTATTTTTTTTCTCTCGTACCTAATGTTATCCTTTATTTTCTTTTCCACTGTACCAAACATAGCTTTAGTGTTTTTTTGGGTGAAAACAACCCATTGAAAAACACAACACGCCAAGTATTTTTTCGGCTGAAAATATTCGTTTAAGACTCTGAAATTGGGTTTGTTAGATTGTTAGGGAGACTGTATAATATTTATAGATTTTTGTTGGAGGTTGAAACGAAGTCATGTTGTTCTAAATTTTATATTTAATACGTAGTAGTTTTTATTGATTAGGTTTTTTATAATATTTTTGGAGAAAGTTAAGTTTTAGGCTTTTTTTTAGGTTTCCTTTTATTTTAGCTTCCTTATGTTTTACTTTTCTATTTCTGCTAGGTTTCCTTACAGTATTAGGTTTCTTGTATTATAAATATGAATGTACTGTAAGAATATAATTTAACCTTTGATTAATAATATATCTAATTACTTTGCAATTTTTCTTCAATTTTGTAGATTCAAAGTAGTTTATCATTCATTGTGAACATCATAGCTTACAATCTGTTTACGTCATAGATTTAGCTTTACATTATCATGTGAATATACTTCAATACATCTATATGCCTTCTGTGATACCCTTTAATTTCGGAACACAGGTTTATCAAATCCGCGCACAAAACCAAGGGATATCAAAACAATTAAAGTATGCCAAACAAACACAGAGTACAAAGATGAATAATAAAGGAATAAATAAAACGCTGAAGAAACTAATAAATAATAATTTCATTAATTGATAAACCTCCAACAAGTACAACTCAGGAATCCCGTAATACAAAGACCCCTTAACCAATTATCTATTATCCAGAAAAAAATCTATAAACAAATATTGTAGTCAAATGGTGTAATAATATCCTACTTTGAAATAAATGGAAAGAATAGATAAGTCCTCCAGCTGCAGATCCTCAACCTTAAGACTTTAACCTCTAATAACCTGAAAGATAAAAATAAGTAGGTTAAACCGACGAGCAAGTTCTCTCTATCAGGCCTCTGAAAACCAATAAGCAGACCATCTCTGATCAAAACCAAACCTAATAAAGTTTTAGCTTTAATATAGCATGATATATATATCTATAAATAATTATATATATTACAATAATCACATCTATTAATGGGTTTATTAAATTTCCATACCTATTAAAAAATGATTAAAATAATAATCATACTTAGACCAATCCACCATTTCTTTTAAAAAGAAACTCCTTTAACCTTAATCCCATCATAGTCAGTTATTTAATCATTTGAACAATAAATTATAATAAAAAATATTATATTTACTCCCAAAACCCGATAATGATTTTAATTATTTAAATCACATATCCAAAAGCTAAACTTTGACAAATCATTAATGTCTCCATCAGTATTATTTTATTAATATGTATAAAATAGTACACTAACCTGTAAGTACTAGACTATTCTAATTTAAGAATATCTAATCCTAATCCAACCTATACATACAATAATCATAGATGATACTTTAATCATTTAACACGTAGGAATTTAATTATATTTTGGCAAATCAACCATGCCATTATAAATATATTTATTTATATATTGACAATTCAACCATGCCTCATTTAAGTATATTTATTTATACATTGGCAATTCAGCCATGTATTCACAAGTATATATATTTATACTATTAAACTAGCAACTCATCCATACTTCCTATGTATGTATTTTATTCATACAAATATTTAGGGCATATATTTAAGCCTTTGGCAACTCATCCATGCCTACAATTCATATATGTACCATTTTAAACATAACAATAAACCATGTCATACATAGATATCCCATGCATATTAAAAGCATAATATTAATTTAATAACCAACCTATTATGATTTAATCAACTATATTACCTATAAAAATATGATATACCAAATAAGAATAATAACATTAATTATCTTAAATGATATATACATATACACATATATTATTTAATATAGGGATAATTTTACTTACCTCTCCTGAGGTTAAGCGTAATTACAGGTGGTACCCCTTACGTTTCAAAAATTACAGTGACCTCCTTCAATGTGACTGTCGGCAGTTGTATTAGAAATTTATGTGAATGTACCAATATACCCTCCATTATTATATTAATAATAATGAAAAGCTATCAAATGATGGTTTTATCCTAACAAATTTTATTTAGTTATTATTATTTTTTTTAAAAAAAGTTTTACCCTAACAAATGTTTCATGTTTGAGTCTTAAATTTGCAGACCACGAAGGCAGAACAGCAACCATCTTCACCACCGTCATAGCCATCGCCACGGCCACAACAAAACCACCGTCTTCACCACTATAATACCCCTAATTTTAAAAGGATAGTGATGAGCACCGAAAAGTGCGCATTTAAACCCGTCAAGCTTAAGCATTCTAGTACCTTTATCTATCTTACTTTGCCGTTTTAGACTTATTACGTGTTATTTATATTTTCAGGCACTAATCCCAAAATTGAGCTAACTCAGCCAAATAAGAGCTTAATTGAAGCAATCCTGAGATAAACCAAAGGAGGGAGCAAAGTGGAGAAAGAAAGGAGCAAAAAGGAATCAAAGTTGTGCAGCTGAAAAGTTCGATCGATCCAACTTAAAGTTCGATCGATCGAACATCTATGATCGATCACAGTACTTCTCGATAGATCCAACCTCGGCCTTTGCTGAAATTCCAAGTTCGATCGATCCAACATCACCTTCGATCGATCGAACCCTATTTTGTCCTATTCAAATGATTGATCTTATCCACAGCTGTACGCCTACCAACCACTTTTGTCCTTTTCCCCATAAATATCTTCGAAATATCTCAACTTTGTCCTTATCCGGAGGAGTCAGACCACTTCGATCGATCCAAGATGCAGTTCGATCGATCAAACCCATCTTCGATCGATCCAAGTTAAGGTTCAATCGATCGAACTTCCTCCAACGAGAAAAAGTTAAAGTCCAGCTCATTTATTCCGTCCTTCACCCAATCATTGGAGAATATGCCTTGCACGACCACAGCTCATCATAGGGTGTATTTGACCTACCTATATAAGGAATATGATACACTTTTTGGAGGGGGGTCTAGAGTCTCTTGTTACACATTGAAAATCATCTTGGAGGCTATTCTTGGAGAGGAAGAAGGGAGGAAGCTAGAGCAACCATTGGAGGAGATCTTCACCAACAAGGAGCAGCCATGGAGTTAGCCCTTGAGGGTTGGATCATCACTACCATGAGTGGCTAGACATCTTCTTGGGGCTAGAGTTAGCCCCAAGCATGCTTTC